AGTAGAACACGGTGGGTAACAGCGCGTAACTCCTGGACCAGCAGGTGGAATTCTAGAATTTTCCAGCCACTCTCCGAGTGTCCTTTGCAGGCAGCTCCCTGGACCTCCGCGTCCTCCCGCGTAAGATGAGGGAATGTGAAGAGACTGATTATCCCTCAAGTCCCTTTCTGCTCCCTCTTCCCAGCCAGGGGAGCCCTGTCTCCTCCACACGCTGACCCGAGGACGTGCTTGAGAAGTACCCGTCCGCGCCGGAACAGACATTTTGTCGGCGTTGTAATTTCTTCAGCACCGACTTCCCTGGCGCCTTCCAGCTCAGCTCACTCGTCACTCTCGCAGTGTGTCTGTCGCTGTTTGTACACAAAGACAATAGATAGCAGAAACGTGTGCCCATAAGTCACAAAGTCCACAGCAGGCATCCATAAGCCTTGACCGCTCAGGCGGAATGCGGCGTGCGTGCCTGCACGGGTACGTCTGTGCCCACGCGTGTGCGACACATGTTTCTCAGGTGGAAATGCTTCCAGAGCTCGGAGGCAGGGCCGTGGATTTGTTGGATGAGAACTTCTGCGGGCACAGTCACTTTGATCGCCTGACTTCCTTAGCTATTAAGAGAACATAACCACGCGGTAATAAACAGCCTCGCCAAGGATGTTCTGGTTTCCAGTTTGGTGTTACTTATCTGTGAAAACAGAAGGGAATCTCTGACAAGCTGGGCCGGCCGAGAGACCTGCCTGGATAGGGCATCAGCTGTGCGTGGGGTGTGATGGGGTCTTGCGTGGGAGGGACCCAAGGCTGATCATGTTTTCTTCACGGTAATGGTACTTGAAAAGTAAGATTTTCCTCTCTCTGTTGTCCAGCCTACCAGACGAATGCCCCTCGTTTTATGATTCTGGCTGTGTATGAACAACGCGTAGTAAAACCCTTACTACTGGGAACCCAGCTTTGAACTTGGGTAGAGGAGACCAGCAGTCATGTATGATTACAGCGCCTGAAGCCAGTGTGTAGTTTCTGGGTACATCCTTGACTCTGGGCACATTCAGCTCAACTTCCTAAACCTTCTTATCCTATGTTTTTGAGAAATGAGAGTTAATGAACTTCAGGCCCCAAATCTCTCCTTCTTACAAAAAGGGCTCCGTTACAGACTAAATTCTTCATTCTCAGGCATGTGCGCACACACACACACACACACACGCACACACACACAAAGAATTAACACATTGTATAAAACTATAATTACCTACAACAGAAAACCAAATATTTTTCTGGTTAAATACTAGTTCCCCAGAAATTTCTGGTTATCAGATCAAATCAAATCCTGGGAAGACTTCTTTATAAGAGGATTTTTTTTTTTTTGCTCCTCTTCTAGGACTCTAAACTGTGCATATGTTTTTAAGATCCCACGCTTCCTGTTTCAAACCTAACCGATAACTTACAGTTTGCAGATTATTAAGTAATTTCACATACTCTATTTTATTATAGTAGCACAACCTGTTGTGCCCCAGGACAGATATTTCTGTTTCGTGGCTGAAAGAATCAAGACACGGCAAGATCGTTGAGTAGGATGGGGAGGACTTAGCAGCCGACCTTCAGAAACCTTCTTCCCCGCCACAAGTGGAAAGAAACCCAGAGCCCAGAAGACGGGAGAGGGCCTGGAGATCATCGAGAATGACATCTCCTTGTAGGATTTCCAGCCCTTTCTGGAACACATCCAGGGACTGGAAACTTCTGCCTTTGTTGACAGGTTCTATTTGCTGGAATGGTGTTGTTTATGGTTCCACGAAACCTGCCTTCACGTGACTTCCCGCAGTCCTGGCGCTAAACCTTTAAACTACATAAAGTTGGGGCGCCTGGGTGGCGCAGTCGGTTAAGCGTCCGACTTCAGCCAGGTCACGATCTCGCGGTCCGTGAGTTCGAGCCCCGCGTCGGGCTCTGGGCTGATGGCTCAGAGCCTGGAGACTGTTTCCGATTCTGTGTCTCCCTCTCTCGCTGCCCCTCCCCCATTCATGCTCTGTCTCTCTCTGTCCCAAAAATAAATAAACGTCGGAAAAAAAAATTTAAACTACATAAAGTCGGTTAACTCCTGCTTCACAGGACAAGCCAGCGTCTCTGAGAAGTTCAGGCGGCTGTCACGTGGGCCCCTTCCCAGGAAAAGTCTATTTCCTTCAACTTACTTAAAAGCGTGATCCAAGTAACCGTGCATTTAGCAGGTAGAGACACCTCTTTATCCAACCCTTGCCATCTCTTGCAATTTCACAGGCTTCCACATGTTCCTTCCGATTTTATTGTTATTTCTTCTTCTCCTGTTTAAGGACGCCATGGGCAAAGGTTAAAGATTAACTTGCAGAGCTGTGAGTAAATCTGGGGTATATTCAACACACGCAGGCTCTTTTCAGAGTGGAGCATAATCTTTTATGAAAATCTCCAGGGAGGGAAGGCTGAGGGTTACCGGTGGAAGGCTGTGACACTCACCGCCGACTCTGGTTTGCTTCCGGAAAAGGAAGGAGCAATCCTGCAAAACTCTAGGACAACAATATGACAGCAACGAGCCTTTTGCAAAGCAAGTATTATTTCTGTCTAGCTGACAGAAGGTGTTCCCTTCTAAGGTTTCTGTCTTTCTGTTTGATCTGGATGGAGTGGTTCAGCCCCACCTGGAAGCAAGAGGCTCCGACTACTTGTAATTCACCTTTTTGTCCCCTTGAGAAAAACAGGACACCCCCGACAAAAGGTTGTCTGTGTCCTAGGACCTTCTTGTACAAGAGGGAAAAGGAGCCTGTTAACAGCAACATCAGGAAGTGAAAGCCACCTGTCCCCTCGTTGGCCACGCAAGCCACAGGGCAGCCCTGATCCAGCCACCTGCAGAGACATCGGCTTTCTTGGGAACTCTAGAGTAGGGCAGTCTGGTCCTCACGACAGCATCAGCCTGATAGGACCCTCCATCCCCGGGACAGTGCTTTTCTGGGCCCAGGGGGCTTTTACAGAAATGCACTGAGCCCCTCAACTACGTTAGCGTAACTAGGGAAAGGCAAATTGAAATCACAGTGAGAAGACACCCGATGCAAAAATCCAACATTAAAAAAAATTTTTTTTCATAAGTTTATTTGTTTTGAAAGGGAGAGAGAAGGAGAGAGGAGAGAGAGCGCACGTGAAGGAGTGAGGCACAGAGAGAGAGAGGGAGAGGCTCAATCCCAAGCAGGCTCCACGCCGTCAGCACGGAGCCCAACCAGGGGCTCGATCTCGCAACCACCGGATCACGATCTGAGCTGAAATCAAGAGTCAGATGCTTAACCCACTGACCCACCCAGGTGCCCAGAGAAGTCTACCATTTTTTAGAGATTTGTAACACTAAATTTTGGCGAAGACGTGAAACAGTGAGAGCCCTGCACACAGATCGTGGGGAGGGCTACAACTTGCAGCTGCTGACGTCGATGATGTCACCCGGAATCACACTGCGAGGTGCATGCCCACAAGAAATCGTGCAGACGTGCCCCAAGGGACACGTACAGGAAGGTTTAGAGCTTCAAACTGAAAGCCGGTCAAATCCCCATCAACAGTAGGACGCATGGCTGTCGGTGTGTTTATATAACGAGGTACCAGACAGTGGCAGGAGCGAAGGGGCACGATGTTCAAAGACACAGGGACCTTCTCAAACACAGCACTGAACTGAGTACAAGAAACCAGGATGGAAAGGAGACTGTATGGTTGCCTTTTTTGGTTTGTTTGTTTATTCGTTTTTGAGAGGGAGACAGAGCGGGAGAGGAAGAGGGGCAGAGAGAGAGAGAGAGAGAGAGAGAGAGAGAGAGGGAAACGCAGAATTCAAAGCAGTCTCCAGGCTCTGAGCCGTCAGCACAGAGCCCGACGCGGGGCTCGGACCCACAAACCGCCAGATCATGACCTGGGCCGAAGTCGGATGCTCAACCAACCGAGCCACCCAGGCGCCCAATATGGTTACGTTTATATAGGGTTCAGCACAGGTAAAGCTGAAATGTCATACTGAGGGATACTGAGGTAGAGTCCTTGGTTGATGGGATAGCACGTTTAGAAAAACTAAGGGAATTCTGATGGTGCAAATCACAGTACCGTTACTGGGGGAGGGGGACCGTGTGGGGGCAGGGAGGCATGTGGGGGCTTCTGGAGTGTGGGGAGGGGTCAGATGCTTGCCCAGAGTTTACACAGGCTGCTTCAAAACGATGGTTTCTATGTCTGTATGTTCATATTGGGTGCATTTTGCTGTACCTGTGTTGCCTTTCACAGTGCTTGGAGACAGATTTTCCTATTTTTTACTTTTAATTTATTTTTTATTTAACCTCAAGTTGCCTAACATACAGTGTAGTCCCGGCCTCAGGAGTAGAACCCAGGGATTGCTCATCCCCGCATGTGTCCTCCTTAGTGCCCATCGCCCCTTGTGCCCGTCACCCATTGAGCCCCTCCCCCCACCCAGCACCCTGCCAGCAACCCTCAGTCTGTTTCTGTGTTTAAGAGCCTCTTAGGGTTTACCTCTCTCTCTCTGTTTTCCTTTTATTTTTCCTTCCCTTCCCCATATGCTCATCTGTTGTGTTTCTTAAATTCCACACATGAGTGAAATCATACGCTATTTGTCTTTCTCTGACTGACGTGTTTGGCTTAGCATAATACATTCTAGTTCCATCCACATTGTTGAGCATGGCAAGATTTCGTTCCTTTCGATCACTGAGTGGTATTCCATACACACACACACACACACACACACACACACACACACACACACACACACATATATCTTCTTTATCCATTCATCCATCGATGGATAGATATTTGGGCTCTTTCCATACTTCGGCTATTGTCGATAGCGCTGCTATAAACATGGGGGTGCATGTGTCCCTTTGGAACAGCACACCTGTATCCCATGGATAAATACCCAGTAGTGCAGTTGCTGGGTCGGAGGGTAGGTCTGTATTTAATGTTTTGAGGAACCTCCACGCTGTTTTCCAGAGCGGCTGCACCAGTTTGCATTCCCACCGACAGTGCAAGACTTTCTCCGCATCCTTGCCAGCATCTGTTGTTGTCTGCGTTGTTCACGCAGACGGATTTTAAAATGTATTCTGCGTGTGGTGGGCGAGCACACCGTGCCATGTGGTGGCACAGGGCACTGTTTTCCGGGCGGCCACTGGACGTGGAAAGGCCACGTCGCTAGAGGCCGGTTGTGCGCACAGACCCGGCGGTAGTTACAAAAGCTGCTCTGGGGAGCCCCGGGCCAGCTGGTGGAACACGGCAGCATGGAGGAGAACGCCTGTGGTCTCCAAAAGCTGGGCGGGCCAGGAAGGAGGTGGCCGGGGCCGGCAGCCGGAGGGGAAGACACCGCGAGCGGTGGAGCGCAGAGTGGGTCTACCCAGGAAGTAGAAGCAGGTTGGAAAATGGTAGCAGGGCCTTGGGGGAGGACTGTCCGCCGACCCTGGGAGGAAGGACGCACCATCCGCGCTGTCCTCAGCGAGCGCGCCGGGGGCCCTCCACCACCGCGGTGTGATCGGCGGTCAGGCTGGGGTGCAACCCGCTCTGGTCTCTGCAAGAATCCGGGGCCCCTGACTCCCGGGTGCGCGGTGGCCTCCGACGTGGGGGCCACCGACCTGCGTGTGCATTCAGCTCAGACACCTGCGCGGTTCCTCGCGTTCTGCAGAGCTGGCTTCGTGAAACCTGGGTGCTGATTCACGATCACTTAGAAGAAGGAGATGCGGAGAGAAGGCGCCGGGACTCCGCGGGCGCCCACAGGTCCCGGGCACAGAAGCTCAAGGGCGAAGGGAAAGAGGCGTCCTCTCCCGTGGCTGCCGCTTCTTCCTCTGATGCCCTCAGCCAGCCCGGCATTCCCGCCTGCCGACTGTGGTGCGCCACCCTTGTGGGAACTTGGGTGCCAAGCTCCCGGGACAGGGCTGTCCCCTCCAGCCTCCCCTCCCACCAGAGCCTCAGCCTGGAAGAAATCTTCCTCGACGTTCGCGCGTCCGGAGGGGGCCGACCAAGCGGGTCCGCTGTCCCCTCCCTCCGTCCGCTCTTTGCTTGCTTGCTTGCTTGTCCTTTTCCGGAATGTTTTCCTAGCCAAGATGTTTGGGTTGAGAGGCCTGCTGCTGACAAAGCCAGTGAAGAGTTGCCTGGTTTCTGGAAAGAGCAGGACGCCCCCCCGTTGGTCACCTTGTCAAACTAGGTGGCAAATGCCAAGGTCTCTGCAGATTTCCTTCAAAAATTGGCCCACCTCAGTCTTGGATTTTTTTTTGTTTTGTTTTTACTGTTTATTGTTTAGAGGGTGGGGGGTGAGCCAGAGGCATCCGGACTTTGAAACACTCTCTGGAGGGTGGTTCTCAGAATGCGGTGCCTAGACCAGCAGCGTGAACAAGGTGGCATCGCCTGGGAAAGAAATGTGCCCCACCCGGACCTGCCGAGCCAGGAACCCAGACGGGGGTCGGGGGGACGCGGCCGCAGACTCGAACGGCTGGTCCTGGCGCATGCTACAGTCTGCTTCTAAATTTTCCAGCCCTCAGACTGGGGAAGGGGCATTGGTTTTGATTTGCTTGGTTTTGTTTTTTTGTTTTCAATTCCGTTCCATTATGGATCAGGACTTTTGTAAAATGCGACAGAAATGAAAAAAATGAGAAAGCTAGAAGATTTACAGCATGCAGACCCAAATTTTGTATTCCGAGATCCGAAGCTGTACAGTTGCTCCGTGAAAATTGCTAGAAACCTTTCTAAGTGGCATCCTCTCAATTTCTGCGCTCGTGTCTCAGAGAGCCAGCAGCCAGCAGCGTGCCCAGGGGCTCTGGCCGGCTGACCGGGCTCAGAGCGGCCAGGCCAGCGGGCCTTGGACAGCCTTCCTCGCTGACTGCCCGGACCGCCGGGTACACGGCAAAGCCCCGGGTGGGGAAATACAATGAAAAGCAAACTCTCCTCCCAACCGAGACGACCTCATCACAGAGGCAGAAGAGACAGAAATTCATTTTATTATTGAATAAACATTCAGCCCCCCTGCGAAGACAGAAATCTCTCCTCCGTGTAGCCACAGATGGGGCCACTCCTGTCGGGTCGCGTTTGCCGCCTGGAGCCCCGGGGTTAGGCCCATGTCTCCCCGAGACCGGGGAGGTGAGGCGGATCTTTCTCCAGGATCACTTTTCAGAGATTCAGCTCCTGGGTCCTTGAGGCGGCATTTCTGAGTGGAGACACTGGCCAGAGGCATTTAGCCATTAAAAGCATTTCCATACAAGCAAGATTTGAAAAGGACAGAGAAGGAAATTCTGAAAGAAAAGGAGGAGAGGGTCTCTTTCTTCTGTTCCGTGGGGACACTTAATTTGTATCTGGGCTCACGCCACACAATTCCCATCTTTTCTTTTCAGCCTTCGGTGTGGCTTGCGTATTGGGAGCGAGCGAGTCTGTGAGCTGTCACCGCAAATAATCTTCCTTCCCAGTTTCATTGTAAATTGATTCACGACAGGGTGCCCACATGGTGGGGCGGGGGGGGGGGGCGCCCGGGTTAAAGGAGAGGTTTTTTTTTTTTTTTTTTTTAATTTTTCTTTTTCAACGTTTATTTATTTTTGGGACGGGGAGAGACAGAGCATGAACGGGGGAGGGGCAGCGAGAGAGGGAGACACACAGAATCAGAAACAGGCTCCAGGCTCGGAGCCATGAGCCTAGAGCCCGACGTGGGGCTCGAACTCACGGACCGCGAGATCGTGACCTGGCTGAAGTAGGACGCTTAACCGACTGCGCCACCCAGGCGCCCCGCGATGGCTTTCATTTTTGACTTTGGTTATTAAAGAGAAATTGGGTATTTTCCCACTTTGTTCTAAAGTTTATTTTTAGCTACGATTACTTAAAATGATTCATTTTCTTAGACATCTAGGAAATGTTAATTACTGCAGATAAGACTCTATTCTAAAGCCTACTACAAAGGCTCGCCCCCCCTTCTTCTTTAGCACATATAAAGGAGATGATGTTAAAATGCTCTTATGCAAATTTAAAAATTTGGCTGTTGCCTTAACAGTGCTAATGACAGTTAATGCATTCCCAAAGCCTCTCTGTGACCCAAAATCTTCAAGTGCTTAGAATTGTTTCAGGACCACCCTGCAAATAAACTAGAAGGGGACTTTTTTCCTGGAGATTAGTTCCCTGGACGAGGGATTCAGTTCGAATTTAAGGGATAAAAAACAACTGTGGACTCAGTGAGGTACTTACAGAAGTCTCTGCGGACAAAGACTGAAACCCTCTTCTCCCAGATCACAGTCATGGGGGAGCTACAGAATCAGAGAGGAACGGTCACAGCGATGGTTAGGGGGGATTGTCCTTCAGAAAGCAAGGCAGAGGAAGGTGGGAAGAGGGCTATCACGGGAAGGAG